TGGCGATGGCGATGATGTGATGAGAATATCATTCTATCGTTCAATGGCTGGCTATTTAATTGATTATTATTATTTCTTAAGAAAGAAAAAAATAAAAAATAAATAAATAAAACATAAATAAATAAATAAATAAAATATATATAGATGTATATATATATATATATATATATATATATATATACAAATATAAAAATAAAAGCTCAGTCGCGTGCATTTGGTGGTTGATTTCTTGTTGACATGATATGAGAAATGCGTGACTTTAATTGAAACGAGAAGCGCATTTTATTAAAAATTGATTCACTAAAGTAAATTGTATGCACTTTTTATATTAATTGAGTAAGAAATATGTTATTTTAAATTGTACTATGAACGCAAATTATCGTTTAAAGCGTCTCACTGTGTGTGTGTGTGTGTGTGTGTGTGTGTGTGCGTGTATATATGTGTGTGTTATCAAGTTTTTTTTTTTTTTTTTAAGTGTCTGCAAATTTCATAGCTATATTCGGCCCTTACTACGACGTACTAAGCTCAAGATGCAAAGTTAACGATCAGGGCGACGATCCGTAGGACATTCATTCCCAAGACCCAAGATCATTTTATGCTATTCATTATGTAATCAATCATTTCTATTTAACAAATAGTTGTTGTTCATTTAAAAACTTATTCTCACAATTAAAAATAATAATTAATAATTAATTGAAATTTTGTACAATTTTTCAGCGATGCATTAGAACAACACTTGACGATTAACTGAAGAACGTGAAAAATAAAACTGCTTTAAATTATAGGCCAGTTTATGCATATATGATATTCTAAATAAAAATCGACGAAATGAGCTTCAGCGGGAATTCGCATTCATCAAACGAAAACAATGTTCGAAAACTATCCTTTCTCGGCTTCAACACAAAAAAGGTAAGAAAAGAGACACAACTAACTTATGCTTACACACCGAACCAATTGGTTGCAACTTTTGTTTAAACTAAACGAAAAGCTAATTACATTTTGTTTTAATTTTATATATAAGCATTTCAATCGTAGCAGAAGACTTCACGCTTGAGTATCGCTTCTTTACTGGCTTTTATTATTATTCTGTCTATCCGTTTTCTCTTCTGTTTAAAAAAAAAAAAAAAAATGCCAAAACTTAAGCGTATCATTATAATGACACTATTTGTGTCAGAAAAAAAAAAAAAAAAAAAAAAAATTAAACGGAAAGTTTACGTCTCAGTTGAGGCAAATTTCGGTTATATTCGTCAACATTAGCGCATTGGCACACAAGCAAACAGCGGTGGGTAACAAAATATTCGATATAAGCTGAAAATAATTTTCCCCTTGTCCTGTTATTAGTATTATTTATTGTCTTAACTTTCTTAAAATGAATTGACGCACGTTTGCATTTCTTATTTTCATAGACAAAATAAAATCCAAGGTTGTATAGAAATATTAGCTGTGAATATCAATTAATTTAATGGAATCATTGGGTATTTACTACTGTAATGTAAACATACGCGTACTATGATGGAAGAGCGTGAAAACTTTTAGAAGGCAACGATATCATAGGACCACGAGTCAATAACACGCTACTACTACTACTACTACTACTACTACTACTACTACTACTACTACTACTACTCAAAGAAATAAAAAGCAGAAAAAAAAAAAAAAAAATTAAAAAATAATACATAGACAAGATAAAACTTCGTGGCCTGGCCGTTCAATCCAAATTTTATACGATAGGACCTTTTGATCTTTAAGTGTCGAGTCTACGACTACTCTACTAGGTAGGTGCAAGAGACCGATACCGGTATATTTGACGCGAACTGCGTACGGCCATCAGTAGGTAGTGCATTACATTGCATAGGTATAAAAAAACACTTTCACACACACGTTCTTGCGATTTTGATCATTTTGGGAGCGTTCGAGATGAAATAGAAAATGAATTTAATCTTGACTATGATATCATTCAAGCACATATGCGATCGCTTTGCGTTTCTACTAAATGCTTGTATAATTGTGTGTGCTACAAGGAATAGATTATTGATTTTGAATATAATTTCCTTTCACTTTAATTACGAGAAAACTTACAAAACGACATTTATGCATTTGTATGCGTGCAAGTGTATAAGTCTCTTCCAATTTAATATTTATTATTTTTTCAAGGTGGCGTCGTGCACACACTAAAATACAGGAAATCAATATTCGTGGTCAAGGTCACTCACTTATATGCAAACACTTACCTATATTGTCTGTACAGTGAAATAAAAAAAAAATAAATAAATAAAAAAATAAAAAAAGAAGAAAACGAACCTCTCACTAACCAACCAACTGTTGACTTTTATCAACAACAGACACACACCAAATGGTCTTTGGTCGAACGTATCGATTTTGTATAAAGATATGCACTTATACTTAAGTATATATATCTGCGGATGCCTATGGCAGACAATAAACTTTTGTAAGCTGCATAAAATATTCAAAACTTATAAGAAGCAAAGAATAACAAAACAAAAAAAAAAAAAATAAAAAAAAAAATAAAAGGAAAAGAAAAGAAAAAAGAAGTAAAGTAGTAAACATTGCACGAAAGATAACGTCCCAAGAGATACGATTTTGTGTCACTGATTGATTTGAAAGGCTCGTGCCACACCTAGAATTATTCCAAACGTTAAACATCCCATTAATTTCACCTGTTTGTATGTAAAATATTTGAAAAAGAAAAAAACTCACTTACCTTACGCAGCGCTTTTCAATCATCGTCTATCGTACATTTGTGATTCTAGAAGTCTAGTGCTTCTTAACTATATACCTGACGGTTATATCACAAGTGTCTAATTCAATTTGGGAAAAGGCGAAAGAAGGAAAATATACAAGAACAATTTCTCTTAACCCAATCTTTGCAATCTTTATGAATGTTCACTCTCGGCGAGAATCTTTGACATCCCGTTCTTCATATCAGCAAAGTAAAAGTGTTTACCTATCATACTAATTATTTGTGGGCGTGTCAGTTATATTTTTCGGATCAGCCCACACAAACTTCGCCTACACCCATCGTCCAGCAGTGTATTTCTAATGCTATTTGCGCGACGATTGAGAAGAGATGAATAGGCGGACTTGGGCAAATTGACCTAACTTGACTTGAATTGATAGAATCTCTATCTCTCTCTCTCTCTCTGCTTCTCTGCCTCTCTGATTGAATAAACATATATATATATATACATCATTTCTTAGGTGATTATCTTTGTTTTCTCTTTTTTTTTTTTTTTTTGATAAGTCAGACCAAAATGACTATGCATGTGGTGCAAAAGTAAAAAAGAGACTATAAGGCGGGGGAGCAGTTGAGTGTAATCGCAAATATAGAAAGCGGCATGTCAATCGCGTGTTACCAGAGTGACAGAGCTGTCATATCTTCTTACCTAAAAGCAAATAAAATGTTAAGAAGCCGGACCAAACCATTGAATTGGCGAAGAAAAATAAAATACCCGTACTATATAAGACGCGCGAACTGCGTTCATGAAGAACTGTTGAGGGAACCGAAGTCCTAAAGACCGCAAAAGATGGTCGTAAAACAATTTCTCCAGCCCAAAAAAATTCGCTCATATTCAAGATCGATCCGGATGCGAATATAGAGTTCTTGTTATAGCCGCCCGGGGAATATGTTCCTGAAGAAAGTTTCGCATATATTAGCAGCATATTTTCTCTTTATTCAATCAGGTTTACCCTTCCACGCCAGTAAGAGAAAGTATTGAGAAAGCAAGTTGCAATCTGAAAAATAAATTTTTGTTTCTTCTACATAGTAATTTCGCCCTAGGAAAAATATGTCCTGATTCGGGTAGAGACGTGCTCATCCGATTAACTGAGCGGCTAGAGATTTCCACTTTACGGCTTCTATTAGTTAATATTATAGTGTATACGCCAGATCGAACGAATGTCATTCGACATATTTAACTAAGCTGCTAATCAATATCCAAATCTGGTTACTTATGATATTTACTTATCGAATTTGTTACAATTACACAAACCAGTTTGCATATAGAAACACTTGGGGTGGGGGGGGAAAAAAAATACATTAAATTCCTTTCTTATAGTTTAGTGCGTTTTTTTTTTTTTTTAATTTTATGCATGTATTTACATTTATCTATCACGCACATGCATTTAAATTCTCATAAATTTCATTACGTACGTACTTTAGTGTGAACAGATTTTTATATATGTACATGTGTATACTTATATGGCCTTGCTTGGCCTTGACCGAGCTCATAAACCAGCCAAATCAACATTAAATTGAGAGATAAAAAAAAAAAAAAGCAAAAAACAAAAAAAAAAAAAAAAAGGAAAAAACACAAATAACAGACATTTAAATAATGTAAAACTCTTGTTCTCTTTTCGTATTAAAATCGTATATAATATAAGTTCATGTTCATTTGTTTGCCGTCGCCAAAGTTTATGTTATTATAACAGTTTACGTCAAAAGCTTTGGTGTAGAAGATTTTTCTATTTTATTGTGTTATTATTATTATTATCATTTATTTATTTATTTATTTAATTATTTATTTATTTATTTATTTATTTTTTTAATTTATTTATTAAGATCATGCTCTTATTTTTTTCATTAATTATTCCTTGGAAAGGCAATTAAGAGAAGACATCAACCAGTTCACGTTCAAATATCGCTTTCAAAAAAGTTGAAATATAAGGTCACTCAAGCGTTTGGTTTTTTTCATTTATTGCTAAAACAATTTACTAAAATTTTTGCAAAAAAAAAAGTAAAATTACAACAATGGAATGGAATGCCTTTAACTCGATCAGTTGGTTTTTTCTCTTCTTATCCTAAAAGTTGAGACAATCCGATAAGCGTTGATCTTATCTCAATTCTATTACGACGCTTAAGTTAATAAGAGAAAAAGAAATGGGATGAAATAGTGGAAACACATTGCGTCTAAGTTTGCATACGATTGATCTATTTCAAGTTGACCGCTGTGTCAATATTGATTTTTTTTTTTTTTTTTTTTTTTCGTAGTGTTCCCTTTAATATGTAGCTTAGTTCACGATAGAATTTTGATATTTTCCTGCGCAAGCACGCAAACAAGTTACCGGTAGAGATGATTGCTTACGTCAAAAATGTTCGAATGTAAATAGAAGAAGAAGAAGAATTGAAATAAAAAAAACTGCAAAAAAGCATAAAATAGCTTTGGAAGCATGTTCAGATAACTCTACGAATAATTTTGATGAATTTGTGCGTGTATTTAGCAGAATAACAAGTTGATAGACTATATCTCATGTTCGCTTTATTGTGTAATAAATGCTATGCGGCATTTAACAGTTTCGAAATGATGAGTGTGCGCAGTAAATTGTTCAGATGTATGTGTGAAAAAAGTTCCAGCAATGTTAGACGGCCATGTGAGCAGGCAATAGTTTTATCATAAAAATGTTAAATGATTTACATAAAACTACATTCGCATAATAAATATAAGCTAAGCCGAGTTAAATATCAATATAAGCAAACACTTGTCCGTAGCATTCATTTTTTGATCGTGTGAAGTGCAATTAACTTTCAAAACAGAAACAAAAAAAAAAAAAATGCTTCAGATTCGTAAGGGCTTTGTAGACGCATCTATCAGACTAACAGCTATTCATTTATTGCTACTTGCCTTGTCGTTTGCCTTAACGCACACACACACACACACACACACACACATACATACATACATGCATACATACATACATACATACATACATAAAGACAAAGACAAATAGAATAGATTTCATTGCAACGTGGGCAAGAAAAGAGAACTTCATCTTATTAGCTTATAATTATGTTAAAATTGCATTAAAACTATACAAGCGCCATAAAGTCTGCAAATTCACGACAGACACTCATGTCAGCACACAATGAAATGTACATAAAAATATTTGTGTCAACTGACAAAAGTGAAAAATAACAGAACCAACATGATAATAACAATACAAAACGCTTAGTCGGTGTCGATATACGTTTCCGCTAAAAAATGTATATATGTGTTTGTGCACGTGCGTATGTATGTATGTATCTATGTGTATTTGTGTGTGTGTGTGTGTGTGATTGTAGGTACATGTATACAAAAAAAATGCTCATTGCAATGTTTGCTGGTTGTGGCTGCTGTTCACACACTGTCAAGTGCTAAAAATATATTAAGGCACCTAAAAGTATACTTTCACATAGCGTTAACAGCAAGTCGTGCTTTATCAACGGTCGAGAAATGTGCAAACGCGCATTGCAGAATTATCGAACAATCAATGGAATTAAAAGAAGAAAAGTGCAAATAAATTAAAAAAAAAAAAACAAAAAAACAAAAAAGATTGTTATTAATTTTAAAAATAAGTTGTTTCTTTTTTTTTTTTTTTTTTTTTAATTTATAAAAATATTATATTTTTATATACTTCTATATATATATATATATATATATATTGCAAAGAAATATTAAGAGCATTAAAGATTGGATTGGAGAAGCGGAAGGACACTGAATTGTATATTGAGAAAAGACCTTGAATTCGTTCTTGTTTTACTTGTGTTTGCGTACAATATTTCTTGCCCGCAGTTTTACAGTTCAATTCATAGTTTGTTGTTGCCTGCTATTATATCGTCGTCATATACACATACATTTGGTAAAATATAATTTTAAGAATCTATAGCAATTAAATCGAACCCATCAAATCCGATATTCGCGTTTATGTGACTTTAACGATATGCTTATAGTATGTTATATCAATGCATATATGCATATATTTACCTCATTGATTGATGTTTCATAAGAAAACATTACACATCAAACCGTTACATCTTTCGTTCCGATGACCTTGAGTTTGATGATATCTTTCATATAGTTGTGCACATTAATGCGTTTGTTTGTTTGTAATATCGCTCGATCTACGCGATACTTATATACGTCATTGATTTGTTATAGGTTTTTTTCAATATTATTTTTACAATTACTTTTTCCCTTTATTATGAAATAGAAAATATAACGCGAATGCATATTAAAAAGAGGAAAACAAGTTCAAATAAGAACCGGGTATAGAAAATGTAAATAAATATCTGAACCATTAATACGGACACTTAAGACGGTTGGTTGTAAGACAGAATTTCTTTTGTTTTTTTTTTTTTTTGAAGATCTCTAGATTTATTTGTTTGTCTAACACACAGACGTATTTACATGGGTTTTTAAATATTGATATAAACTTTTCCAAAAATTTTCGATAGAAAAGCGAGTTCGTTTAGGATTTCCATGCATCAGGCAACCTAAAGAGATCGATATCTGCATAAAAACCTATTTACTTGATATATTTTCCTTAAAGCTTAAGTACAATTCTTGTTATGATATTCTAATTTCTTGATTCTGATTAATTCTGAAGTGATTTTCCGGAAAATGTTGCTACAGTAAGTTTCTTTGGTAGAAAGTCTCTCTAATTCCCAGAAGATTATTTTTTGTCTTATAGAAAGACGGAGTTAAGTTCGGAGAGGGCACAGTTTAGTGAAAATAGGAGATGTTTCAACAATTTATAGAGCAAGTCTTTCAATTTGCTGGCAGTCAAGTCATCTTTGCGTTCATTCGAAAAAAAAAAAAAAAAAAAACAATGATTGACTGCTTGGTTTGTAGTGGGAGTGTTTTCATTCAATTCTTTAAATTATTTGTAGTCAATACCGTGGTACTGTTGTGAAGTAAGAGTAAGTACTAGTCATTTACCCAAAATGCTTTGACGACCTTGCATGCAATGCTTGTTATCGAGTGGAGAACTACAGCTACTACTATCGCTACGGCTGTTACATCGACTCTGTAGTTTGTTGTTCACAATACGCGATCGCAGTAGTAATTACTAGTGTCATTAAAACCGATGCACAGATTCAGAGGAGAAGAGAATGATGAGAAGAATGATGAGACAAATTCGATTCATTTTGATCTGAATTTAACAAAACCTCTTTCGTAATATCCATTTTGCACATTGACTGTCTTGTTATCAATAGCATTTTAAAAACAGGACAGCAAGACAATCAAGATATCTGTAATGCTTGCAACTATATACCTTCTTGACGACCAATCATTACTTATTCATGCGTGTTTACGTTAAAGCAACGTTGCATGTACAAGTTTATCGTCACAATACATTCGAAAATTTCCTTCGTTCAATTCATTTCTAAAGGATTTTCAATCACTCGTGCTTCGCATTTGCTTAAGCAATCAAAACACGTTTAGTTTCATAAGTGAATCCAATTGAATTTAATTATCTGACAGATCTATTTGAAATCAAGGACGGAACCTGATGAGCAATATGCCGTAGTTTTACTGCAAGCAACGTCATCTAGTAGAAATGTCAGTTGGTGAATTTTTTCAATGACCTTTGAACCTTTTCACATGAACCTTTTCAGAATTAGCTTAAGTGATCAAATATGCTAAATTGTACCGAGGGCTCGCGTACAATATTTAATTGCGACAAGGGGCCAAGATTTTCTATTTCTTTTTTCTTTTTGTGCAATTTAGTAATCTTTTCTACAAACAACAAGCAATGCACGCCGGACAGACATTTGTAAATCGATTCCGACTTGATTATAAACGTGCATTTGCATTAGATTAGGGATGGAAGCGCAGTTAGCAAATCGAACATAGCTCCCATTGTTGAGATAATGAAGTAAAGACATCAGATTTAAGGAGTCCATAAACCCCATATACATATATGTTTGTGTCTCTAGTATTTTTTTTTTTTTTTTTTCTCAAATTTCGTCTTGAGCTTAGAAAGTTATTAAACGAACAAACGAACAGAGAAGTAAACGAATGGGCGTGGCAACAAGTTAGTTAGTTTGCGAGATAACAAAATAAAAAAAAAAAATAAATAAATAAAAAAAAAGACGAAACAAGAGAAATACTTCAAGTTAATGTTATGTTTATTTGTGTGTTAGTTATGAATAATTTCTTTTTACAACTCGTTTTCGAAAAAAACATATAAAATTGTTTATTGCTTAATAAAATTATTTGGAAAAAAAAAATTTGTTTAACTAAATCTTAAGTGTTTCGATTCGTTTATGATAAACATCAGATGTATGCAATTCTAATTAACTAATGTGCTTATATTACATACATGTGCATATGGGTATGGGTATGCATGTGTGTGTACATTTAGCTGCATATTTATAAAACATTTTCTGCTTTCACGTGTAAGCTCACAAGAAAAGCAAATAAACAAACGTGCGTATGGATAGTCCGCACATGTTGCTATATATATATATATATATATATGTATATAGATTGTGGCTTTTGTTAGATTTCGTTTTGGGCGATTTGATTAATTGGATCGATTTTGGTAACCGAATTGCGTAACCGAATTCGCGGAATTCAATATTTAATAATGACACAGATGTGAATGAGTAGAACAACAAACGATGATCAATTTTACTTCTAAGAAAATAATGTATATAGTTTATCTTCTTCTTCTTTCTTGATAGATTTCTAAACAACATTAGATCAGATCAGATTAGATCAGATCAGATCAGATCAGATCAGATGTATTTCTCATATTTGTTATTATAAAAATATATCTATATACATATATATTGAGTAAAAAATCTTTTCGTTTTTTTTTTTTGTTAATAATAATAATTTTAATAATTTTTCATTTTTGTTTTCTTCTTCATTGGTTGTTTGTTAATTATTTAACAGTTTCACGGCAATGAAGATCCCGATGAGGTGCTATTGGACTCGGAAATGGAAAAAGTATTCGCCGGTCCGAGTACATTAAAGGAGAAATTCGATGTAACAACATTTCAAGATACAGTCCATCCAATTGGTCCTTTTAAAAATAAAAATTGTATGTTCACCTAATACATATACATATATATTCATCATATATTTATGCATACTTCAGATAATATACCCGTTGAATCGGTTTTTCAATTCATTTTAGCACATCGAAAAAATTTAGCCGGTGATCTTAACATAGAAGAAGACTCCGAATATGAAAATCATAATGAACCGGTAAACGCACAAAACTATGATGACATACCAGAGGATTTCCCATTAGTATCTGAACGTGCTGGTCATGGTGATCATTCTGTAATTGCATTTTTTTTTTTTTTTTTCTTCTTCCTAATTTTCTTTATATATATGTATGTATATATATATATCCTCCATGCGAAAGCGAGCATATAACAAGTCGTTTATTATATTTGTAGAGCGAGAAACTCTTATCTTAATTATACAAACGTATATGACTCCATTACGCTATAGCCGGTCATCTGTTGCATGGAATCGTTAATTTGTAAAACTTAAAAAAAGAGAGCCAAAGCCAAAACCAAAGCTGAGTATTTACGTTAGTTAGTGGAAAAAGCATTGAGTCTTCAAGCACGCAATGTCTATGCATAATAATTGCATTCATTCAAGTTGTAGTCCTATACACTTAAAATTCTTCTACTGAATGAAGTATTGCTTAAGCTAGCTAATAATACTAACTGAGTCCCGTAGCCAAGTCAACATTGGCAGAGCATGTGCTCTGCTCCCAAAAATTTTTAGTAAAACTTTTAGTAAATCATAGATGGATAACTTGCTTGAATCGAGTTTTGCATTTGATTGTTTTAACGGCACAGCTTGGTGGATATACAAGATTCGTCCCAAGGCGGATAAATAATAAATATTGAGATTTTTTTTTTTTTTTTTGCTTTTTTTTCCTTTATATAAAATAAAACCTACTTAGTCTGGCAGTGAAGATAAATATTAACACCATCCACGCGCATTTACCAAAGGAGAACGTTACCGGCTTTGAAGTCTTTTATGGCGATTTCCTTTATTTGAATACGTTGACCTCCTTCGAATTGCATTTTCATATATTACCAATTTGTCATCGCTACACTAATTTGATCAATCAAGTTTTTCAGTGACAATACTTGCGATACTCGAAAGCTGAGCCTATTTGCATAGTCACTCTTAAGGAAATGGTACAAAATTGCTTTGGGGCCTGGTGTACGATTTCTTGGTAATGTCGATCTTCTCAAATTTCATTGACCTTTCTCGTGATTGATTGACCAGAGTTCATATTTGCGCATAAACGAGCTCCACATTTTCAAAAACAAAAGATAGCAAATCATCTTCGTTCCATAAAGGACCCGGAACGGGGATACCATGAATTTGTTGTCCGATCTTCGGCAGCGTTCTTGCCTTTTTCTTAGTAAACTTGCATATTAAAAGGAATTTCTTTCTCTTTTAAATTTTCGCTCCATTCATGGCTACGATTTTCGAAATAAAGACCTATCTTCATGCGAGGTTATATGATTGATGTGTAGTTTATGCAACTTGCGCCAATATGACGCGAGCATATCTCAATATTTGTTCCTAATTCTTGTTCCTGTTTTTTGTTTTCAATATCGATGCATTTTTTGCTCATTTCGTTGAACATTTTTGAAGGATACCTCAGCTGATGAAAAGCATGTGCAGTTTGGTAAAAAAAAAACTTCAGTTGCAAGCTTAAGTTACGATGACCAGCCCAGCGATAATGTACATGAACGCAAGCGAAGAAAAAGGTAAGAAATTGTTGCATAAATCGTATACGATTAGTAGTAGTTCAATGCATCGAGCAGCTTAACTTGGCATCATATAGGTAACTTACAAGAATATTTTTCATAAGATGGACTTAATAGATGCTTAGAGACTAACGCGTACAGAACACGTCTTACGTCATTCGATTCAGTGCGAAGCGATCTTAATGAGACTTAGTGAGACAGCGAAAATAGACGAGTTGCTCAGTTATGAGATTCGGCTTTAATAATATCGCTCGTGCACAAAATCTTTTACGATTCAATGACATATTTTAATGAATCGAATGAAAGACTTTGATATTGATTTGTTAGAAGCAACTAACGCTTGAAATTGTAATTTAATTATGTTTATCATAGCCGTCATCAGTATTATAGACAACGCAAATTTTCCCATCAAGACAGCGTGGAACCTAAGAAGACCACTGAGGAAAACGGCGATGCTGGCACACATAAGGTTTCAGCACCGGAAGATTCTGCTTTGGAAGTAAGTCACGAACATTAAAGTAAAGTAAAAATCATCAAATCTCTAACTGTTCATTGAATGTATACGCAAAGCAATAAACCGAAAAGATATATTGAAAGGAAAGGAATTATTTACACGAGAGCAGAAAGAGAGAAATCTTTTTGTACATTGTCTTTATAAAATTGTCTATTAATTGTTTGGTGTTTGTTTTCAATGCTTTCTTCTTTAATTTAAATTTGTAAATGTGCTATAAATCCATCTCCAAATCTCCCGCTTAAAGGTTCTATCATCGGCCCCACAGGTTATTCTATTATGCTTTATTTAAATCCTTATATACTTATATATATATATATATATATATATATATGTATACATATATGCATATATATATGTAAATGTATATGTATATGTATATATACACATATCATAAAATAAACTTTATGTAGAAGAAGAATAAGAAGAATTAAAAGTTTGCCATTCTAATGATATTTATATATATATATGTGTTCACAGGAAGCCGATCTTAATGAATTAAGATCACATCGTTCGGATGATCCAAGAGCGTTGAGACGTCATAAAATCCACCATTCATCAATTAAATTAAGAGAATTGCCACAAGTCAGCGTAGCTGGCTTGCAGCATGCAAAAAAAGCTTTTGATCATAGTCCTCATGAGGTATTTTAATATTTGCATTGGACTTCGGTTCGGCCAGCATAAAATTTATTTTGCATTCTCCCATCAAGATATTCGTGCAACTTGATGAACTTATAGGTACGGGCGAGGAACGTGAATGGAAAGAGACCGCACGATGGATTAAGTATGAGGAGGACGTGCAAGAAGGCTCTGATCGTTGGGGTAAGCCACATGTGGCTTCATTGTCTTTCCATTCGCTGTTGAATTTAAGGCGTTGCTTGGAGACCGGCGTTGTACTATTGGATCTAAATGAGAAAGACTTGCCAGCTGTCGCTTACCGCGTTGTCGAACAAGTTAATATCTAAACTTATATATATTTCTTAACGATATCTTCTTTTGCTATTTTATTAATTTAAAAAACAAAAAAAACAAAAAAAAAAAAAAAACAAACAAAACAAAAACGTTTTTCTTTTCAAGATGGTTGTTGAAGATTTAATCCACGTCAATGATAAACCGGCCGTTATGCGCTCTTTGCTTTTGCGTCATCGTCATGTCAATGAACATCAAAGTGTTTTACCTTTTACCAAACGAAAATACAATAGCTATACCAGTTTACAGGTGAGCCCCTCTTAATTATAGTCAGTCATCAATTAGTAATGTTCCGTACTCATATATGCATACATACACATAAACACATAAACACATAAACACACACACGCACACACACGTACGCATAGACACACACATACACACATACACATAATCAAATATCTATATGTATATATATTAACATGCATCCAAATATTTGCAAGTTGCAAAGTTCTGCAAAGCTCTTGTTTATTTACGTGTGCACTTAAAGGTGCATATATATATATATATATATATATATATATATATATATATGGATACATGCATACACGCATCATACACATATAGACATATAGTGATAGGAGAAATTAAAGTGTTCGCTTTAATTGTGGTCGTCATTGTCGCTCATTCATTGTGGTTTCCTTTTACTTTACACATGATTTTCATCGTATGTCGTGTTTGACTCTCCGCTTCATTCATTTATTAGTTGACAATTTATTTTCTTTTTACAGTTAATTGGCTTTAAAGTGACTTTGCTTCTTTCTTCTCTAAATTCTTATAAGCTACATATATGATACATTTGTGCAGGGCATATAAGCGATTATTTATTTTTTTATTATGAATTGTCAGAGGAGATGTAAAATGGTTATCCTTTAGAAATTTGGAATTTGCAAACAATCTGCAAACTGTGCGTTCAAAATTTAACTTTTCCTTTTAGTCAAATGCATTCCCTTTCTCTATTCCTTCCCGTAACGATATAGATGGACAGACATCTCCCGCTCCCCCATATAAGAACTAATTGATTATTTGTGCGATCTATATATAACTCATTAATATGATCAAACTCAATGCACACACTCATACCTACATATCTAAATACATAAATATATATACATACATACATATATACATATATACATATACATATGTAGAATACCACTAATTTGTTCATATTCTCGCTACAGATAACAATTAAATAACGTTTAAAACACTGTTTACGCCCATTACACACTACACACACTACACACACTACACACGCACACGCACACACACACACACACACACACAGAAAAACAAGAAAAAAATAAAATAAAATTAAATAAATAAATAAAAAAAAAAAAAAAAACGCAATCATAAAATATGCACAAAACCGCGATCGCAAAATTGCACAACCCACACACTTTAAATGGCTTTTTTTTTCTTCTTCTATTTAAAATAAAAACTACGCATATTTACGTTGCATATTTAACAATAATTAACTGGAAAAATTTATAACGAAAAAAGTTGCTTTGGATGAATACCGATAGCCAGCATTTGCAACAACGCGCCCGTCTAAATGGTCTAACGGCGGCAGATCCAACTGCTGCATGTCGAACGCGACGTTCGGTTTGTGAAACTCTCAGCGCACCACCGACAACCATAACACTAGATTCGACTTCAACGTGCCGTCGCCACTCAACGCTTTCCTATATGGGTGTAAATGTTACTCTAAGCCCTATTCTATTATTCTCTTTTTAACTTGTCCTTTTTCTACTTTCCCTCTGTAATGCCCCTTTGTTTTCATTTACTTTTTTCGTCTTTTTTTTTTTTTTTTTTTAATATCATTTAACGTTGTACGACTATTTTTTTGTCCTTCAAATCAATCGCCTTTTATTATTGTTGTTGTTATTGTAGATGATTATTATTAATTTTTGAATAAGTCAATATATTATTGTGCATCAGTTTCCATACCATTTTCTAGTTAAATCGATGGTCATGTCCAGGTACTTCCGAATCGATACTCATATCAGAACTCATTGGAATTTTGCAATAATTGTGCAAAAAAATTGTTGTCTAAGCGTTTACTGCATCAAGCAGAAAGAAATTTGTCGATTGATTTTCTCTTCGGGGAGTTCACGTAATGCAATTAAAGTACTTTTCATTTACGAGATCAATTCGCTTGTGTGCACATTCTTATGTACTTATCTCAAAACATCAGTTCATTAACGGTCCTCTTTAGAAAGTATTGAGAAATGTTTACAGCCTACGTAAAGATCGGTCGGTCATTGCGATACAAGAGATGAAAGAAATGGCGTATTATTACCTCGATAACGCTATATCAGGGAATAAATATAACGATGGCAAGCAAAAACATGATGACTGATGAACATATTTTTATGGGAAAATCGAGACATTCTTCAGTTAGCATTAAAAGCATTATTCAGCTGAGCAGAGAGCATCTCATCGGCTTCCTTAGTTATGCAAATACTGATTTGTTGTTGTGTTTCCCTAATTTGAGCAATTAAATGCAATTAAATGAAAAGCACTGTATTCACCAAAAAAATCCGATTCATATTGCGTTGAAATTATAATTTTCATAACGTTTTTCCCATAGCTTCAGTTAAGTTCAACTTTTCCAAGAATATTTACTATTTACTTGCCTAAATATCATATATATATGTATGTATATCTTAATGATAGCACGTTTATTTTGGGTTTAGTTACTCCGCAATAATTTCTATTTTACGCAAAAATCTATATTTGAATGTGTTAATCATATATATGCGTACATGTGAATATCTTATTATTATTGTTATTATTATTAAAATTGTTATTTATTGACTTGTTTGTTTGCTTGTTTATTTATTTATTTATTTGTTTGCGCAGAATTTGTCTGGCGATGAGAAGAAAATCAAAATTGTGCCCGCCCTTGAAATATCCGGTAATAAGAAAAATAATGAATTGAAAATTGATATGAAAGACGACTTATGCACATCATCGCAAGAGGACTTAAAGAAGTTACAAAACGATACAATACTCAAACGCATACCATTGGGTTCTGAAGCCACAACAGTACTGGTAAGCCTATTGACGAATCCTCCTCTTAATAAGACTAATATATATATATATATATATATATAATTCATATATATATATTTAAAGGTAGGTGCTGTGGATTTTTTGGAACAACCGACCATAGCATTTATACGTTTAGCTGAGGGTATACCAATGCCAAGTTTGACCGAAGTGCCAATTCCAGTACGTTTTATGTTTATTTTGTTGGGTCCACCTACTCTTGATTTAGATTATCATGAAGTTGGCCGCTCGATAGCCACATTAATGGCCAACGAATCGTTTCATGCTATCGCTTATAAGGCCGATGATCGCAAAGATCTTTTATCGGCCATTAATGAATTCTTAGATGATTCGATCGTTTTACCGCCCGGCAATTGGGATCGCCACGATCTATTGCCGTTCGAAGAGTTGAAAGCGAAAAAGGATTGGATACGTTCACGCAAAACCAAAGCATTACAAATAAAGAAAGAGCTTAAGGAAAAAGCGATTAACAAAGAGATTTGCAAAGCTTCGGTAGAGAAAAAAGCCGACAAAGATGATGACGGTGGTGATAAGAAGAAAGCAAATCCTTTGGAGAAGACAAATTGCTTTTGGGGTGGTTTACGCAATGATCTCAAACGTCGCCTGCCCATGTATAAGAGCGATATATTAGATGGTCTTAACAGCGAAACTGTAGCGGCTACGGTATTCATGTACTTTGCTTGCCTATCGACAGCTATCACATTTGGCGGCTTGGCTTCCGATAAGACACACAATTTGATTGGTATTTCGGAGACGTTGTTAAGCGCCTCCGTAGTCGGTGTAGTATTTCATTGTCTAGCCGGTCAACCATTAGTAATTATCGGTACAACCGGTCCACTGTTGCTGTTCGATGAAGCCTTAAATAATTTTTGTAAGGAGAATAACATTAACTTTTTGACAATTCGTGCATACATTGGTACATGGCTGGCGATTATTTCCATATTAGTTTCGGCATTTGAAGGTAGTGTCTACGTGCGTATGCTGACTCGTTTCACGCAGGAGATATTTTCGGCCCTGATTACTCTTATTTATATTGTGGAAACCATTATGAAATTGGTGTCCGTTTACAAGAGGCATCCCTTGTTGGCCGATTACAATTTACCGCCTCCAACCATCATGAACTCGAAATTGATATTAGGGAATGAAAGTGATAGCATTGCTTTAACGCAGGACGATAATGCCACACTGGGCGCATTCGTTACCGAGATGCATTTTACACATGAGGAGCCATTAAATATGCCAAATACAGCATTGTTTTCTACGATACTTACGCTCGGCACCTTTACAATAGCCTATTATCTGAAATTATTTCGTAATTCGCATTTTCTGGGCCGCAACGCAAGACGAGCTTTAGGGGACTTCGGTGTACCGATTGCGATCACGATTTTTGTGACTGTTGACTACTTTATACCGGAAGTTTACACTGAAAAACTTAGTGTGCCCGAGGGTATATCGCCCAGCGATCCCGATAGCAGGGGTTGGCTGGTTACGCTGGGATTAATTGAGACTTGGATACCATTTGTTGCTGGCGTGCCGGCTCTCTTGGTCTATATACTCATTTTTATGGAATCGCACATTTCTGAATTGATAGTCGATAAGCCGGAACGTGGACTTAAAAAGGGTTCTGGCTTGCATCTTGATATTGTCTTGCTGTGCTGCTTAAATGCATTCTGCGGCTTTTTCGGGATGCCTTGGCATTGCGCTGCCACCGTCAGGTCCGTGGCCCACGTCTCTGCCCTGACCATTATGTCCAGGTACGTTAAACGATCATTTTGAACTTGACCTTATTAATCGAAATGAAAATTTGCCTTTATGCCTGTAGAACCCACGCTCCTGGTGAATCGCCTCGTATCATCGACGTGAAAGAGCAGCGTGTTTCTGGTTTTTGTGTTTCATTAATGATTGGACTTTCTGTTACTATGGCACCTTTATTGCGCCTTATACCGATGGCTGTGTTGTTCGGTGTTTTTCTTTACATGGGAATTGCCTCAATGAGTGGTGTACAATTTTTCGATAGGTATTAGCGCTTAAACACTCTTATATATATGTATGTGTATATATCTTTACATTTTAATTTTTCCTCTCTCTCTCTCTCTCTCTCTCTCTTTCTCTCTCTGTCTTCCTTTTTCTCGCTATATCTCTTTCTCTCTCTTTTACAATCAGAGTAAGACTGTTTTTTATGCCCGTAAAACATTACCCACCCACGCCGTATGTAAAGCGAGTTCCTACTTGGAAAATGCACATGTATACCGTAGTACAAGTTGTTTGTTTGGCAATATTATGGGCTGTGAAGTCATCAAAAATCTCTTTGGCTTTTCCATTCTTTCTAATAATGATGGTGCCCATACGACAAAAGCTGGCAGCTCTCTACAAGCCGCAAGAAATGCAAGCGGTAGGTTTAAATCAAACGAATTTTTTTTCTATCTCTCCTCTTTTATTATATATATATTTATCATATATTTTGTAATATGCAGCAAACTTATAAAATACTTGGCAGATAGTATTGTGTTAATGCAGGTTGTTGAGTACCGTTAACTCCCAGCGTTTTCTGAACACTTAGAAATCTTAATAAGAATTTAGTCAACTTGGAAAATAGTTAATCGGACACGTCTTCTGTGAGGGGAAAAAAATTTTCATAACATAATCATGTTCCTTGTTGAACTGGGAAAGACGTACAACGCAATAAGTGCACTTTTGATTCAAAATAATTCGCAGTCTATTTTAAGACCGAACGGTGCCCTAAAGTTTTTCAAGCTTTTCATTTTCTATCATCCTTTCACATATTAATTTGCGCAAAGAATGAAATGAGGGATAGTTCGAAGTGATACAACTTCCACTGCGAAAATGTGATGAGGCTTCTCAATTAAATTTCAACAAATTCGATTGCCTATAAAAGGCATCGTTTTCAACTTATTAAAATAGACAAGTTTAGACATATGTTAGGTAAGCAAAATCACTAACTAAAGACCTCATATCCCTTGACTTTTCATCTCCCAAGAAGAACGTACTTCTGGGGATACCTTAGTGTCCCCTTTTTCAAAAGCCCTGTTAACAAAGTTGTAAAACATTTGGTTAGAGAAACTGTAAGAAGAAGTCACATTTGCGATTGTCTCCTGTATATCGTGGCGATTATGAAAAATTGAGAACTTTTGGCGAACGGCTTTCTTCAACTTATCTACTTGATTGCCGAAATTAAATCAATTATTTGTTTGATTATGCGCCAACAACATTTACTCTTTGAGCATTTCATAGCGTAATCGTAACCTATAAGTATTTGTCGTCCGTTTTTATATCCGCTTTACACCGCACGTGCTCTGAGGCTACATTAAGTTTGTCTGGATGTATGCAATCTTCAGAAGGACGTGAGATAGAGCCACCTTCCGATATATACCGATCGATTCCGTATCAATTTCTAAATCAATCTAAGCTTTCCTGTTCATCTGTCCGTCGCTCTGTCTGTCTTGCTTTCATTTGTTTAACCTATAGATCGCAGCTTTTAAAATATTTTCATGAAGCACTCGATCGAAGCACTTTTCGACCAGTCCGCATACGAAGCATTATTTTGAAAGCACGTTTTATGAACAGTTGTATCACACGTTGAGGTATAGGATATTTAATGGTGGGCCGCGTTCCACTTCACTTATTTCCTACTTTAAAAGTGAATTGACTTATATTCTATTGACTTCATTTTCGATTTACGGAAACGTCAAGTCGAATGCGATACTTTGAATCTCTCTACTATATCCACAAGTGATAATAACATGTCGACTACTTTCGGTCAGCCGCCTCGATTTTATTATTAAATTTTTTAATTATTTAGTTATTAGATTATGACCCTCCACCAACTCAAGTACTCGACAAAAGTTAGGCTTCTCCTTATGGTCCCTATCAAACTTCGCGTTAAGATTTGTATTCAAAGGTTTAATTTCTTTAATCCCTTGACATGCGGGCCGGTCCGTCTACGCCGTCTTATTAAAACCATATGTAACAAACTGATGCTTTGTTAGGAATGGCGTATAAAGTACGTCATCGTGGCAAAAATCGGAATGATCATGGAGCTGGTAAATAGAGATTAGCTTCCTTTAAATTTCCGTGATCGGGCGAGAGTTTTGATTGAAATATAAAATTTTGAATTGTATTTACATATATTTTCGAATTATACCAATCCGTGAGAATATACATCTGTATTATATTTTGGTTGATAGAGAAACATCGAAATCGAGAAAAATTGAAAAACGTCTCCATAGGGGAACGTTAGTCTCTCTTGCCGAATCGAATATATTTAATGCATATATATTTTGTGTCGTGTTTTGAAATATTTTCAAAAATTACTCTTTTCAGTTGGATGGTAGTGAAGCTAATGCGGACGAAGATGAACCTGACTTTTATGAAGAAGCAACCATTCCAGCATAAAACCAATTGCACAAAAACGCACTAGTGAATGCTCTTTGCAAATGATCTAAGATACTTAAAAGACAGTAAAGAAGAAAACAAAAGAGAAAAACAAATTATTATGATATATGATATAGTTAGGCATGTATGTACTTGAAATTGGCGCAAATTACATAATTTTATAAGGTGAACAATTTGAGAATTAAAACAAAAAACAAAAAAAGAAGAAGAAAACAATCGCTGTAGCGTAATGGAAATTGTTGTTATGCATAAATCTGCGATTATAATTTTATAGAACAATTACTTCATTATTAATTATGTGTTTATACGATATAAAAAAAAATTAAATTCAAAAAGAGAATTTTTAAAAATATGTTGAAACCAATCAAATAGTTTTTAGGACTTTTGTTGTCAAATTTATTTAATAAATTATAAGCAAAGTATTTGCAAAATAAAATTCAAGAGAAATAGATAATAATAATAATAACGACAACAGAAATAACAATAAAAAAAAAAAGAAAAAAGAAAATAATAAACACTTTATAACTAAGCTCAGAGTCTAAAGCTTAAAGATGGACGCCCTACAAATGCGACTGTGTTGTATACTTATCAGGTTGGGAACAATACTTTAACGAAATATTAAATAAAAAAAATAAAAATTAATAAATAAAAAAAAAAAAAAAAAAAAAAAAAATCAAATAGAGACAAAACAATAAAACTATTTTTCTAAAGTATTAGAGATGTGCATGAATTTGATTTACATGTGTAGTTGTTAAAAATAAATTCAGCTATTCTTATACCTACTTACATACAAAAGAGAGGGGAAAACGGTGGAAGAAATGAAAAATAAAATATGAAAAAAAAAACAAAAAAAAAACAAAAAAAAAAAAAAAAAAAAAAAAACAGATAAATAGGTAAATAGATGAACGCAAGAAGGCAAACGCAATAAATATGCAAACTAAAGACCTGTCAAAACTTTATCATTATATATACCGACACGAATGCTGCTCAAGGGTACCTAACAAATAATCATAATTGCATAATTACTTGAATACTTAATTAATTAAATATTTATATAAATGAACCGTGAAAAGAAAAATGCAGAACGAACGAAGGGGAACACATTACGGCCGTTAGGGAAGGCATGATAGGCAACGGGTTTGAAGTTCATTTATTACATATACACACACACACACACACACCCACACCCACACATACACAAATACACACACACACCCACTCACAAATACATGAACACACAGTCATCTCCGTCCATCACATGCATACATATACACGTGCATAGAATTATTAATATTATAGTATTTTTCATACTATTCCGTTATCATCATTAACAGGTCAAGTAAATTATTGTAAAAAAATCGATTATTGTTTCTTAAATCAGCAACGTGTTGTTTTTATTGCATTTTATTCGGTCTTGATTTTTTCATTTTCCCCTAACTTTTAACTTCTCAAGCGAAACACACATAATACGCCTAAAAGGCCAATTGGTTATAAAGTTTTAACGATTACCTTTATGGTAATCGGAAAAAAAAAATATATATATCAATTTTCTGGCTTTTTAGTACACAAACGACTCGTATATTCAGTGATATTTTGAGTGTCAAACACTCCATCAACTATACTTTTAAAACAAAATATTATTACTAAACAATGTGTGTGAATGATTACGATTATATATATTTTAATATAATAACCATAAATTAATTACTAACTATCCTTACTGTAGTTTAATCTAATTATACATTAAAAGAGAAAACGAAAACATATTTTAGCAAATTAATTAAACTTAAATAATAAAAAATACAATTCGAGTTCGATCATACCTCTTAAATTAATCCTTTTGCAATTTTTTGCAAACCGTACAGAAATACGGTAAGTAATGCACTCATTAAAACAATACAGTCCACCTTCTAGATTCTAGACTGCTACTGACAATATCGAGGACAAGACCGAGCATTGGAAACTGACTTGTTTGCCAAAGACAAGGAAAATTTACAAACTCCTCCACCAAGGCGGTGCAGTAAAGCAGTGTTAAAAGTCGCTCTAATTGAAGAGTGGCATCCCATCAGTGCAAACGAATGCATATACAAGATGTATGCGTAGTATGCTTTAAACGGTGCTGTTGTTAAGCCCGCCGCAAAGTGTGCAAGCATTTCCATTCTTATTTCATGCCGTCTTTATAAGCCAAAATTGCAGTAAAACTTACAGCGCTTATTATTCGTCATCCTGTTTACATGAATGCTTGTCGAGTGATAATTACTAGATCGAATAGAGAGTAGAGTGTCTGTCGTTATTTCATTTTTCTTTGTTAACTAGAAGATAAATTTGTTTTTTAATTTTTTTTTTTTTAAATTTTAGCATAAGAGATAAACATAAATAGAGAAAAATATCTTAATACAAATATATTTTTGAAATTGTACAATTATTCATTCAAAAATATAGAATATTAAGTCTCCCTTAGAACTTAATAGTAAACTAAATCTAGTAACCCATAATGCCGATGCTGAAGAGTAATAATTAGATCTCGTACATAATTAATAGTTCATTAATAGTTAAAATCCATTATAACGACCGTTTGCAATACGATCAACAATTTTGCCCCTCACTATGAAAATGATGTAAGTCAAAGTTTTTAAAAAAGTTATTTCACACAACACTATTTAGACTAAATGAATGAACGATTAGATAGCGGTTTTAATTTCAACATTATATTGGAACTCATTTAGTATTAATTATGCAAGTGGTCCAAGTCGAAAACTTAAAGAAATTATGTGAACATAATTTTGAAATGGCGCGTGGCCCTCTTTGACACCACTCTGAACCATACAATAAGCTGACAAATGACAATCAAACAATAACCGAAACGACAATACATTCCGCAGGATGCAGCATCATGCATTCCTATGCAGACGGACGGTGTAATTACTTACAGCATAGAGTGATGCGTGTTCAGGCCAAAATCGTAGCATTATAGTAGAGCATTGACATGGATGAAATTTGCTCAGTCATCGAGTAATAATATTGAAACGATAGACCAGATAGAAATGGAAAAAAAGAAGAAGACCAAAAGTAAATGTCTTCCCTTATGCACAACCACTAGACCAGTAAGAAGAAATAAAATACAAATATTATTATTAGAGTTTGCTACATACCATACAACCCTCCAGTTTTTCAGGAAAATTTTAAGATTCTATTTGAAGCAGCTCGTAATGATCTAAATGATCAAAATAGATGACCTTTGTAGAACAAATCATTAACAAATGTCCATGAATTATTTCATTAAAATTATTGCTTCTAATAAAACTCATAGCTTTTTACTGCTTTAAGTCCTTTATAGGGACATGCAGTTCATTTTGAAAATGATCCAAGTCCAGTTCAAACTTTATAAGCAATATTTTTGTATGAAATTCACACCAAATTTCATAATCATAATAAGTTTGCATTAATCAAGACTAATAAAATTTTAAGGCCAAGGGCGCATAATATAAAAATTAATTTTTGATTTATTAAAATGCAATTCATTAAATGTCTCGAAACAAGATATGTAGGACTTGCACAATTTTCATAATTATAGGCACAATTGAATATGCGACAGCAAGTATCAGTACAATAATAAAAATATTCGCAACGATTATGCAATGAATGATGATATCGTGAGTAACAAAGATTCGCCTTATGACGAATTGCACTTTATTGAATGCCGGTCTTAATCGCCAAAACGATTTCACACAACCGTTGAATTTCTCGTTTGAAGACAACGAATAACATGACACTCGAAAAGGAAACAAAGAGCGCATAATTAGTCCTACGTTGAGAACACCTAGAAGGGAGGGAAATTCTTTGAGGTTCTTGAAGAAGTGCTCAGAAGAAGAAATTGTTTGGATTGATGGATTGGATGGATTGCTTCTGACATTGATACCGACATAGTACTAGTAATTGCGAGACCAAATAACAGACGCATATTCAATTAAGGATCTAATCGATAACGTATAGCTAAGCGATGACATAGTCCTATATATATATGTGTATATGCATTGTGAACAAGTTAGTTGCAAATGGTGAAAAATTCATTGAATGCATAGTTGTTGCGTTAATTTTCTAATATAGGTAAGGTACTGTCAACTCTTGTCTTTATAGGATCGAAAAAAGCTGCAGTGAGGGAATGTAAGCAGAGTGCATGCCCACGGAATAGTATATGATATATATATATATATATATTTTACAGGGCAATTTCGAGGTCCGGTTTATGATTTTCATTTTCATACATATGGCTACATCGAGTAGGACGCAAAATCCCATGCCATCTTTGCATATATTCTTTGGTCGTGGTGGCGACCTTTGAGTTTGAGCATTGAAGGGACGACCGCCAGAGTGCAGTTTTAATTACATTCGTAATATTTTGCTATATCGCGCTACAAATCAGATAACTGATGATCGTATAGTTTTGCGAAATACTGAATTGAATCGATTACCGATTGCATTGTCACTGGATGTCGTGAAATTTAATTGTAAAATACAAATAAATAAATAAATAAATAAAAAAATGAAGGATGAAAAACGAAATTCAAGTCGTATATCAATCATACATATTCGAATTAAGTTCAAGTAGGGAAAATATTGCTTTTCATTGCACGGGTCAATCGCACAATCTAAGCGGATCATTTGGGTTGATATTAGTTTTTATATGTAAATGACATCAAAATCCAGCCTTTATTTCTAAGAAACAATATTCAATATTTTCTGTCAGTGTTTGTGTGTGTGTGTGTGTGTATGTGTGTGTATGGAATAGGAAATATTTGCACTTCAAATCGCTTTTCTAATAACATTTTCGATACTTGACGGTTAAGAAGACAGTGCACATGATTTGATGATATTCCCAAGCCAATGTTGGCATCACATACATGTAATCGCGCATTTTCCTTTTACCTTTGGCTTCTTCCTCTCTTGTTTGTTTCCTTTGTTTATTTCCGGTTTGTTTAATCAACGTTCTAAATGCCTCTGCGATTACTTTTCAACTTATTTTGTCCTTGTTAGTAGAATTGATTTTCTCTCAACTTTACATAATAGCGCGTCAGATGAAGGAAATAGCAAAAAATCTTTCTTTGTTTATGGCGATGTTTTCCTGTCTTGCCGTCTAAACACAAACTTCTTCGTTCCCCACTACACTCATCTCCTGTTGGTCATACCTATATAATAAGAGTCTGGGCTGTAACGGTAAAGATATTCATGTCATCAATATTGTTAGCTTCACCTACAGAGAGGTAATGCTTTTTAACCTGCACGCACCTGTGCTTCTCCTAAGCTGCTAGTCCGTCAGAGGCTCAGCAATAGTCGTTATTGAAATATTGAAAATTGGAGCAAATCGAAGCAATGTGCAAAAAATGTGCAATTCCTTAGAAAACTTCGTATGACGGTATAGCGTTTAATATAATGCTAAGTAATTTAGGGCGAGTGCTGGATATTTTCCGCTTTAAATCTAAATGTAGTCCACGGCATATTTTTTAATGTAAATAGAAGAGTGACATGTAATTCGAATAAACGAATATGAAAATTTTTATTTTGTTGAAGGATTAAAACAAGTAAAAGTGTCGTACTCGGTCCAGGCCGACTAACTAATTTACCCTAAATTATTTTGTGTAGTACAATTTGGTTTCCATAATGAAATAACATACCCCATTCTTATTGAAAGGTGTTTTCTTCCGGAAAGCCTTATAGGGAGAAACTTAAAACGTGAACTGACGCGGAACAAATTTAACAAAATTAATTTTTTTCCTTAAAGGTCTCATCATCCTTCGTCTGTTTTCATCATAAAATACTAAACACTAGAATGAGGCCATCTAAGGGCTACTTATCGTGAGCACCTTTGCATGGGGTAGAGCTCAAAAATTATACCAAATTTGGTACAGTTAGTTACGGGATATCAAGCTATAACGCGATAATATTTCTGTTACAAATTTCGCTTTTCCAAGATAGGACTCGTACCAGTAGCTCGTGGATATTCTTTTCAAGAGAAATACATTACAAAGTTCTTCTATTTACAATTATATCCCTTAAGGGTAGGATTATTCATATATTATTTTTGGCAATACCTTCGACTGCTCAACTCAAATATTCTTTTTTTGCTAACTCTGCCTTGCGCAAATATTCTATTTGTATACCCTGCGTTACCCTGCTTTTGCGCTACTCATTTTCCACGGCCGGCAGCTGCATGACGCGCCTGCGAATGTGGAGTTGGTTTCTCGTTAGGGAACTTATTATTTGGGAAAATTAGTTAGCTGGAATGAACTCGATTTGGGATTTCCGTAACAATACTATTATGCACCAATTTTCGTAGAAACGATTACATATCGGGGTAGTATTCATACAAAATCGGCTCGTCTGATGAAAATGTTGTTGCATTTTTTTGATCACAACAAATTTTGGCTTTTGTTTTTTTCATTAGTCTACAGTCCAAGCTCGATAAAGATGCTTTCACTTTCTACCTTCGACTACCTGTTACTCGAAAGTGTCTCTTTTTTGCTGCATCTATCCATAACCAATTAGGAAAATCTCATCCTAAACGTTTGATTTCTTGGTAAAACATTGCAAGTTTCGGAATCTGTCTTAGCCTCATATTTGGGCAAAATTCTTTTTCATAAAGCTATGTAATGTGTACATGTTAACCTTTTTTTTCTTTTTAATGCTTTTCAACGAACATTAACTCCTTCTGAAGGAACCAATTGGGAGAGCATTCAGATGCAATTTCCCCGCTGAAATGTCTTTCGTCCATCTATGCTTGCCGTGTGTGAGTGAAAGCTTGAGATTTTCAAGCGTAAACTTTTTTTCATCTACTAAACTAATAAAAAGGAATTGATCGGTTCCATTTTGTTAGCGTTCTTCTAGCGTGAGTGCGATGGAAGCTCATAAAATTGAGCGTTGGCGCATACGGTTATCAGCAGTTCGGGCGGGAAAGTCTTAATCCCCTCATATGTGAATAGGGCTGTAAGCTTGATTGTGTGGAGATTAATAATAGCTTTAATATTAAATGTTAACCCTGTTACGATATATTTGGAATGGAAAAAAATTGGTAAGCTTGCAGAGCGTTAACTGACCCGAAATGACCCGAATTGTTAAGTAAAACTCGAGTTTCTCACTAAAACCCACTAAATGGCAGCTGATTATGTCTGTGTTAAGGGATATTTAATGATTGAATACATTTTTGAAAAGCTGGTCCGATAGGTTTAACGATACGTCCACGATTATCGATTAAATTGGTGAGTTAGCATTTATATGCCATTTTATACTCATTACGTTATGTTTGATACTGTCCGTTACTATTCTGCTAGAATTTACCAGATTTACGGTCGTTGACTGATCACTGAAGCAATCGCGACCCAGATCGAAAGTTATACGCAAAAGTGAGAGAAAATTGTCTGTGTTTGCCGACATTGTGCGCGTAGCGTGTGTGATAACAAATCACGTCCATCTTTTAATCATGTATATCGAAACGATGAAAAAATGCTTGCACCAAATAAATGCCAGTTGTCTGTCTTCATTTTCGCGATTGTGATGGGTCATAAAATTTACCCGTCAATTGAACGGGTTTAAGTAGAAATAGGTATACCATATGTGGAAATAGCAAAGTGGGCGTGTCCCAAAAAAACTGTTGACATACGTAGTTGCTGCATTGAGTCATTGAAAATCCGTACATAACATCTGAAAATGTCTGCTACCTTATGTAGAATTTTTGGACTCGAGATCACAAACCCGTTAAATTGACGAGTGCCTTAAATCTAGTGTTAATCCAAAACTTGAGCAGTTCTATTTACAGGTTTTGGCTAAAGTCGATTTGATTTGAAATGTTTCGCATTGACGAGAGTAAATTCTATTTTCAATGAAACGACATTCTTGTAAATTTCTGAAGATATCGTGTTAATGTAAAATGGGCCAGTTTCGCAAAGCTGCATGTAATCGATATATTCGTATCAACAAGTAGAACTTTCGGTTACGATTGCATAAAAATTTTTTTAACCTTCATTTGTTTGGTGTTTTATTACTAAGGGGTTTGTGTCAATCCGATTTCTTGGAGAATCCGTTTGCTGTAACAGTAATATAAGCTTCATCTTTAGCATTAATATTGAGATTATTATTATTAGAATAAGACGAAGAAGTAAGTAATGCGTCAGCATTATCTTCAGCACGAGTGTTAGCATAACGGCGGTGATGGGAATTGACATTAGCTTTAGTAATAGTAATAGGTTTAGCTTTAGCAGGTTACAAAAAAATTTTCGCGGCTCAGAATGCGGTTCATTTATAGATTCAAAACCGTGGTTTATTAAGATTTTTGAATGAAGCAATTTCGAAGAAGAATTTAAAATAGGATTTAAAAATCCTTTTGGAACAGAAGCTTCTTTATCGACAGGTGTGCAACAAACATGTTGTTATCATTAAATTGCCTCTCATTAGAAAAGCTCTCTCTCTCTCTCTCTCTGTCTCTCTCTCTCTCAGCAATTTTCTGAGCGCTTTTTACAATGGAAATTTTTCAAATAGAAACTCAAGTATGTTGTCACAAAAATCCCTAATATTGAGTGAAAACTCTATCCAATATCTGAACCATACGGTCCATCGACGAAGGACGTTTATTTTACTCGCACATTACTACTATTGCTACTGAAACTAAAGGATAAATAGAACAAAACAGCAAAAGACTGAAGAAGAGGGGGAAACATTTAAGAAGCAACAAAAATCATTCGTACGAGAAAAACGAACGACCAAAAGCCAAAGGCGGTCGGTCGGTCGTTTGTGGTAGAGTACTGAAGTAAGTGAATAACGTAAAGAAAGGTGAAATTCAAAAATCAGTTCATGTCGTGACGTCTATCTGATTGGACGTATACCGTAACGAACACCCGAATTGCATTTGTTAAAAACAAAAACAAAAAAAAAAAAGAAAAACAAAAAAATATAAAAATAAAAAAAAGCAAAGAGGAAATAACCAAGTGTATGGAAAAAAAATAAGTAAGCAAATAAATAAAAAGCATCCTTTTTAAAATAAACCAAAAAAAAAAAAAAAAAAAGGATAAGAAAAAGAAGAAGAAAATTCAGTACAAAAATGCATAAATGAATTTGGTGGCCCCTTGAGATATGCTTGCAAAAAATGTGCGAACACAAGAAATAATTTCTTAGAAAAATTGAAAATCTATTGATAAGCAAATGGAAATTAATCGTAACAAAAAATGCATTAAGGATCTGTAACTGTGTATGTATTTGTTGCTGTTGTTTTTCCATTTTTTTTTTTTTTTTTTTTTTTTTTTTTTGACATTGTTAGCACTGTTGTCGTTTAATGTCGGTCGGTTTTCTGGTTAACTAACCATACGTAACGTTTGCTGTACGAAAAAATTTAGTTAAACGCTAGCCAGTGAGTCGGTCGGTCGGTTAGTTGAGCGGTGAAACCTCATTTTACTTTCGTTTTCATATTTGATTCGGTCTTGTATAACGAGTGACGGTTTGGCTAATGCCACATTTTCATTTCGTATGGATTATGAAGCACAATCAACAATAGAAACGTGAATTTCATCTAAGGATTTAAGTGTAAGTTTATTTTGAAATGTATATTAAAACTGAATTGAAATTGAAATTGAAACTGACAAAATTATATATAGATGCGTACGTATACGTTATCATTATTTGCTAATCGCATTTATGGGACCGTCTTAATGCGTATATCTATGATTATATTTATGTATATGTATGCGTTTGTGTTTGCGCGTGTGTATGTGTGTGTATGTATTCTTTACTTTCTTCTACATCGTTTAAATATTCTTAAAGCGTTTTCATGTCTCTGTTGAAATTGCTTTTAGTTTTAGCCAAAGAGACAAACATATCGATACAGCAGTGTATAGAACTTTATATGTCAATATGTCTGATACGTGAAAACATTTCGACAGGAGAGTAACTGTTACTAAGTATATCACAAACGTCTAATGAATAAATACCAATATTTTTCAGTTTTCTTTTAACGACGCTGGCATCATTGCACGTGCCAGAATCTTTACATCGTATCGAACGTGTAGTTAGTTCACTGAGTGGGTATTGGAAAATCCTTAAATTTAAAAAAAAAAAAAGAAACAGAAAGAAACGAGAAAATCTTGCATACGTGCATTTATTGAAGAATACGAAAAAAACAAGACACACTAAAGAGAAGCCAACGCAGCAAAACTGCATAAAACGAATTCAGGACAAATTTTCTGTACGAATTCGAAGGCATTGCGTTGTAGTAATAGCCAAACTTGCTATACACAAGCAACAAACATGTACAAACAGTAATGCATTTATAAGCTCGTCTATATATATATTCATATATATATATATATATATATATATATATATGAATATATATATATATATGTGTGTGTGTGTGTTTGTGCTTGTGCTCATGATTTTATATTGTTTATAAGCAAATACAATGTGTACTTATGTATGAATGCAATGCCTGTAGATGAATGTACAATTGTAAGTAAGTGTATCATGTTTGAGTAGGATATCGATGCGTATGAGCGTTCTGCTGTGCTTTGCTCTGTTCTGTTCTGTTCTGTTCTGTTCAGTGAATATGTAAAAATTTTTGGTTTCGCAAAGTTTTGCTTGCAATGCACCGCATTTCTATAAAAGTTCGTATGTGTAGATGCGCAAAATTGGTTGGTTGTATATATCGTAGAGTTGATATTGCTGTTGTCAGGTTGTTGTTGTCCGTGTCTTTCATAATTTTTTTTTCCTTTTTTACCGTATTATGCGTTTGTGCATATTTAAATGTGCCCCTAAGGAGATCAAAGTGAATGGCTGGCTCCATGGTTTAATTGGAAAAAGGGCCCGAATTATGTACAAAAAAAGGGAAGAAATAAAAAAAAAAAAACAAAAAACAAAAAACAAATATAAAACCTACAATTATCGTTGTTCGTGACAGAGTGTGTTTGTACGTGTGTGTGTATCTGTTGCTTGAAATGTCAAAAAAAAAAAAAAAAATGTAGAAACTTATCAAGCCATGAGCTGAGCCGTTCATGCCGAGTCTACGCCGTCGAGAAAGTGTTTCCGTATAAACGCGTTTTTATATTTGGCTTCAATTACGTGGAATTTTGTAACGCTTTTCTGGCGACGTTCTTTCAACAGCAATTTCCATTTTGTTTATTGAAACATTTTTAAGTTCTCTTGTGTTTAATTATCCACTAATGATGAATGATGTTATTTATAGTAACTTACTCGTAACATTTTATACTTCATTTAAATGTTTTTACTTTTACATTTAAATATTTATTTAAGATTACGTTTTGGTTTTTGGTGCCGCATAACACCCAAGCTATATATGATTCTTAGTTGGAAGTTTGTGATTACGTGACTTTGCATAGACACGGCAACGAACTAAGAGTTATTGTGCTTATCCTGAAACAATTAGTGTTTGTTGTACGCCGGAGCGATTGCATGTAATGATTCTCTATACTTTACTCAATTGAATCAGAATTTATTCTGATTATTACGATCATAAGCGATTGCTCGTTCATCCATATTTAGAAAGTGAAATCGGCGTAAATGCTATCTCCACAATATTTTTTCCGACAATGGTTTTTTTAGTATCTTTTAGCTTTCCTTACGAATTTTACTATGGAAATTCTATTTCAAATCTAATATTCGTTTAGCTTAACGGATCTCGTGAATTAATCGCGCGTATATAGCTATGATAAAATTGGGTAATGTGAATGTGTACGTCACAAACCAATGTGTATTGAAAGTCCATTAGTTCGAATTAATGTTTTATTAATACTTATGCATATCATCAAAGATCCTTATGGCCTTTTTTGAGAAATGCTAAAGGAAACTTTTGAATTGACACCTGGCAGACTGAGTGCCAGTATAACAATAACGAAACAGAACGCAATGGACGGACGGACATAATCGGTTTAATTAATATAGAATTTTATATCGATCAAATATATGAACATTTTCTAGGTTTTCTGATGATCCGCATGAATTTGTGATATCAGTATCCTATGTGGGTCGTGCACTCGAGTACCTTGTAAACTCATTTATATAACTTTTCAAAGAATCTTACAAAAGAAGAAAGGAATCCACATTTCATTGACTGTGAACGGGTTTTATTAGGTTTAATGATATATAAGATATATAATATATGAACTCAATATTCCTGTTAAATTGACTCTGAAGAGATCCTTTAAAAAGCATCATAAATATAATCAATTGAATATCTTCGCAAGGGTTCCTGATACGCTATCAAGCACATAGCCATCTGATAGGTTGCAAAGTTACTTATGACACAAAGTATACCGGTTTCTATTGTTCAACAATGCGGCAGCATAATGCTTAAGGTTTACAATACAAAACTTAGGTCGCTACACACAACCTGTACCAAAGGTGTACGCTATTGTTATTTAAAAGTCAACAAATTGTTTTCTAATCTCTCGTTCGCTGTAAGCCTGTCCGTCGTGTACGTTTCATAAACTAATTTGATTATGGCCTTCGCCTCCAAACTTCCTTACCGAAATGGTAATTTTGTACCCCGAAGATTGAAGGTAAGGCGAACGCATATGGATTAGTCCGTTTGAGGTTTTGGCTGAAAACCCTCGCATTACAACGGACGAAACTGAATATCTTTAGAGTCAATCTTTTCTCTTCATATTTAAGCTATGTGTCAGAATGTTTTCGTTCGTACAGTCAATTAAAATTGCGTTTTATGGACACGTTTTGGTTTTGGTACATGGGGAATTTATTTTGAATTCTCAAATTTATGGTAAACTCTATCTCTAACTGAGCTTTATGCTCTACACAAAGTCTTATGTAGGGTGTACTAAGGTTGTATTGCGTTTGAGCCACGCTTTATGATAAAATTTAAGATTTAAACTTGTCTGTCGGTCTGTCGATCTGACGACACTCCGCTTATGCTTATGTTCAACCTACAGGTCGAGAGGCTTTAAAATATTTTGACCAAGTTGCCATTCAAAATGAATTAGATCGGGTCATTTTTCCTACCACTCCCTGTACAGCGCCTTATTTTAAAAAAGCCAGAAGTCATATCAACCAAATTTCTAATTTTCAAATTTTCTTCACAAAAATCGCTGATTAAAAGTATTTCGGCATAATGAACTGATGTGAAAAATTTTGATTGAATGCGATAACTTTTTCAACTCCCCCCTCCATGCTTAGCAGCTCCAATAAAAGGTAAGCCTTAATGCGGCAGAAACTTCGAACTTTCAATATTCCACAGCGAAAGTTGATCTAAGACAGTGAGCTGGTATAAAAGCTGGTATGGTCGGTCCTAAGTCAGGACCATATAAGTCGCATACTTAATCCCCAAACAAATGTTTTTGTTTTTAATATGACCGATCACTTACGTTCGCACAGAAGTGTGCAAAGAGATAGAAATATGTTGGTGATGGCCATAGCCTAGTGTGTGTGTGTGTGTAAGTATCATATGGTCTTCCATGAACAATGAGCCCTTGCGATGCAAAAAATTCCAACTTTCGGTACTTTATGACAATTCATTTTAGACCATTTTAGACTCATCTCCTTACCTCTTCCGGTAGAAAGTCGTTGCTATGATATTTGTTGTATTATTACAAAAAGAAAGGAGGATTTGCGTTAGGCGAAGTGGTGTAGCTCATGTGGGCGTTCAAAAAAAAAAAAAACAAAGCAAAACATCAGCTGAGTGAGAACACTAAGAAACCAGTTGCACTCAAATTTCACACAATGACGTAGTACAACGCTTCCGACTTGCATAAGGCATCTGGGTGCTACATGCATACATATTTTATCAATTGCTTTATTTTCGTTTATTTCGCCCATGCAAGGGCAGAAGGAGTTTATCACTAAACTAGCGCGCACTTTACTAACGATTTAAAGAGTTTTCGTTTTAAACGTTTTGAAATGAAGAAAAAGTAGAAGAAAGAAGATAGTTTTACGTTGTTGCTAAGTGCCGTACAATCAATCTTTTTACCTATCACTGGAGGTTGACTATGTGTGTTATTCCACCTGTAGCACATAGTAATCTACATCGTATATGAAGCGTGTGTGCTCGTAAGCAACTTGAATTTTTTAACTACCGTCTATCGGTTTGTCCCGTCATGTGCGTATATGGTGGCATGTCTAGCTTCTATTTAGTTTCTATTTAGTTTTCTTTGCTCTGATTATTAATTATACTTTGCTCAAATTTCAAGATATTGAGGCTCAAGTTGATTCGAAAATTTAAAATACTGATCCGAAAAATGTAAGGAAAATAATTATTCAATTTGCAAAAAGTGCTTCTTATCGAAATTCCAATCATGCCGTAATTAACAAAAAAAAAAATACGAATTTTTTTTTTTTTTTTCGTTAGTTTTTGAATGTCCTGGATTCGTCTCAAGATGATGAAAGATTTTTAATTTTTTTTTTTTTTTTTTTTTCATGTAAAACAGTTATGGTATACGTTGAAATTGCATGTAACAGAGAGAGGGCTTGAGTGCCAAGTTACACATTACGCTTTGTGCACTTTCCGCCATTCATCTCCTTCACTTTTGCCTATAATTCTTTATGTATTAAAAAGCGTTCGT